GGAATAACCTGAACTCTTTTACCTCTGGGGTTTGTGCCAGCTGGACCTGGATATTTTCCATTGAAAACAAGACCTTCAATGATAAAGTCATGCCCAATGACATTCGAGTGAATGCTTTTTGTAGTCGGAAGTCATCTCTCCTCATCGCTTGGTGTAGGCAGTAAAGGGAGAGCAATAACTTCAGTTTGCAGTAAATTTTCTGCTCTGTGATGGGTAAGATGGAAGTTTCTCAGAGCCAGAATTAAACAGTAATTAGCAGCTGATAAAATCCCTCTCGCATCCTGCACTTTCTTTCATGCAGCATGAATATTAAGAGCTGCTTATGAAGCTTAATTCCCTATTAATATTCTCCAGTTTGTACAGGCCTGCTTCTTGCTTCCTGAAGAAGGACTGATTTTCATATACATAATAGACTAAAAAACGATTGGATTTGTGAAATTAAAAGTTGAACTTTATTAGAGGCTGGAGCACCCAGTAGTTGTGCAGTGAGTTGTTTGTAATTTGCACTTCAATTAGTATCTATTTTTAAGGACTTCTTAAGGATTTTTGAGGGGAAGCATTTGAATAGTAGCTGTGTTTGACTCCTTTAAGGCCATGAGCATGGCATTTACAGGAAGCAGATCCTTTTTACCTTAAGGAATTAATTATTGTAGTAATTTTTAATTTGCAGTCACGACTCCAGTTTAGTGCTGTGCATGTGTTGACTAGGAAAACACCGTACTTACAGTGTACTTGCAAGAAGAGCTTGCTCCAAGACATGTGAGATGCTTTGATTTTTGTCTTCTATCAAGAAGCAGAGTGCTGAGACCTGGGACTGTCGTGGGCAGGACCATCTGTGTGCTGGAGCTGTGGCTTGTGTAGGTCAGTTCTAGGGAGCTGTTGGGTGCCGCAGAAATCCCTCCCTTGGCCCCACAGGCAGTGATGCTGGGCCAGCGGGTGTTCAGGGCTTTCGAGCGTGGGACGGCTGTCCGTATCTATCTGATATTTCCTGCTGCCTCCCTGTCCCGTTGCATTTGCATGACCTCGGGCTCCCGCAGGACTGCTTTTCTCATTCTCCCCTGGGACATAGAATCACAGAATAGTTAGGGTTGGAAATGATCTTAAGATCATCAAGTTCCAACCCCCCCTGCCATGGGCAGGGACGCCTCACATTAAACCGTATCACCCAAGGCTTCGTCCAACCTGGCCTTGAACACTACAAGGGATGGAGCATTCACAACCTCCCTGGGCAACCCATTCCAGTGCCTCACCACCCTAACAGGAAAGAATTTCCTCCTTATATCCAATCTAAACTTCCCCTGTTTAAGTTTTAACCAATTACCCCTTGTCCTACCACTATAGTCCCTAATGAAGAGTCCATCCCCAGCACCCCTGTATGCCCCCTTCAGATACTGGAAGGCTGCTATGAGGTCTCCACGCAGCCTTCTCTTCTCCAGGCTGAACAGCCCCAACTTTCTCAGCCTGTCTTCATATGGGAGGTGCTCCAGTCCCCTGATCATCCTCATGGCCCTTCTCTGGACTTGTTCCAACAGTTCCATGTCCTTTTTATGTTGAGGACACCAGAACTGCACACAATACTCCAGGTGAGGTCTCACGAGAGCAGAGCAAAGGGGCAGGATCACCTCCTTTGACCTGCTGGTCACACTCCTTTTGATGCAGGCCAGGATACGGTTGGCTTTCTGGGCTGCAAGTGCACACTGAAGCTGGCTCATGTTCATTTTCTCATCGACCAACACCCCCAAGTCCTTCTCTGAAGGGCTGCTCTGAATCTCTTCTCTGCCCAGCCTGTAGCTGTGCCTTGGATTGCTCCGACCCGGGTGTAGGACCTTGCACTTGGCATGGTTAAACATCACTGATGTTTTCACAGTGACCCTTTTAAGATCTGAGCAAAAAAATGACGAGGTAAGCTGATGTAATGTTTGCTGCTCATGGAGCAGTTATGGGTCTGACTAAGGCAGCAGAAGCGAATAATCACCAAACTCTGATCTCTGAGGGAGAGAAATGTGATACCGAAGTCTTTTGAAACCTCTAGACCTTGCTTGTAAAGTGTGTCATTTTTCAGATCTTTTTCAAGCTAACAGTTATTCCCCATCATTTTAAATGGTGGCTGTCATGAAGCGATTTGATTTACGGGAAAGAGCAAAGAAAATCAATAGCCATTTCAGATTTTGCACCTGCAACCCACCGAGCACATTTTGAGCCCATTAGCTTCTTGCTTCACAGAGCTCTGGGTTATGATTAAAGGCTTTTCTCGCTCCTGCTATGATCTTCCCATGAAATAAAAACTCGGTGCATCTGCATGCTGCCCAATTCATCACTAGCTAAGCTTGAAGACACCGAAGGCTCAAAAGTAGCTAATTGCTGTTTTGAATGTGCAGCAAAATCCTGGCTTGACTGAAGTCAGTGCCAGCCTCATTCCTGCAGAGCCTGGATTTCAGAGCTGCGGTCCTTCTCCATTCCCGCACCCTGCGCCCAACACATCCAGCCTCTTGCCTTTGCACCCAGCTCTGCCCAGTCTCATGTGATGGGGGTGTTGTGTCACTCACTGCACCACTGAATGATGCTGGACTCTTAAAGCAGGATTAACTCCTGTCAGACTTGCAGGCTGTTAAAATCTGGGGGGATACAAAGGTTTTACGGATAGAGGGGAAGCCTTCAATGCCATGAAAATTAGAAGCCTGGAACCTGTGGCATATGTGTTTTGTTTCTAGCTTCTTGGAGAAAAAGTGAATTATTAAAGAAAAAATACAGCCTGTATTTGCATATACAGTATGTTTCTCCTATCCCTGTCTTGTCCCCTTTGTGAGAACCCAGGGCCAGAATTACAGTATCTGAAGTTGCTTTTGGATCCCAGTCAGCTCCCATCTGTCATGATCTGTTTTTAATCGAATGGGTTTTCCATCTGAAAGTAGCTGTTGGATGGAGAAGGAGTAGAAATATTTGTGTTGTGAATTAGCTCAGAGTGAAGCTACAAGCTTTTTTTTTTTCCCCTTCACAACAAACACATGGAAAAATATTCTTCAGTGTAGTGTGGCTGGCCTGAAAATTGGCAACAGCAGCTTCCTTCCCAGGCTCCGACTCCTCGGGCTTGTCTGCATGGACAAGGTCTTTAAAGGGGACCTGAAATCTTCATCTTACACAATCTTATCTCCCATCCATGTCACGCTTGTGTGTATGCGTACTGTGGGAGGCAGGTTGAGTGGCTCAGTTTTCCAGGAGAAATGTAAAGCACAACAGAGGTTTCACCTGGGTTTGCTGAGAGATGTGTTCTCACTACTGTGCTTTTCTTTGCTAGCCTCGATTGTCTCTGGTGGGAGCAGCAGATAGGTTTGATATGATAACCAAGTCAAATTCAGGATCTTAGTCCTTAACCTCAGTGCTCTAGGAAAGGTCCAAGATCTCCTTAACAGCCTGTGCTCAGTAGGTCTGGTTCCCTAATGCCATGAAACTGGGCTGCAGGAGATGGAGAGCCTAGGGACTGAATATGGTTAATAAGCAGAGAGGAAAGCGAGGCTGTAGGACCTCTGTGGTTTCCAGGACATCAGATGACATCTTTCTCCTACTGCGGAAGAAGAAGGAAGAAATCCCTTAACAATCCCTTTGGAATCCCTTTGGAAAGGCATTGTTAAGCCTGTTCTTCAATGTCCCTCTGGGGGTTTTCATGCAGTATCCTTTATCGTTAAAAGCAGAGAAGCAATTACCCGGCATCAGTGTCATAGAAGATGAGGCAGTGTCCTTGGGGAGATGGAGAGAAAGGTGATGCTTATCCATCCCCCTTTGCTAGAGACAGAGAGCTTCACTTCTGCATCCGTGGCAAAAGAGTTACTGCAGCACTGGGGCTGAAGGAGGAGGGGTGCTTTCCTGTTTCCTATGTCAGATCCTTGTCTTGCTCCATATGTGAAATCTGGAGATTGTTTTAAAGACCCAGGAGCTAGCCGAGCTGTGATTTCCATTAGATTTCCATTGCGTAGTCACCCACAGTGACTTTGTCCTGTGTTTGCTGAAGTTGTGGGTATTTCTCATCAAGGCAGAAGTGCCAGCATTTGCCCTGAGTGTATGAAAGAGTAGAATCTGGCTTATTTTTACCTTCTTTTTCTTTTTTTTTTTTTATTATGTTTTGAGGCACTTTTGTCAAAAGGAAACACTTGTGGTTTATATGTGTATGTGCGTGCATATTTTTATCTTTTTATCACAGCTTCTGGCAAAACACAGTGTCTGTAAGATGATGGTTATTGGGGATGGAGCAGGGCTGGACAAGGCAAATTCTGGGCTTGTTCTAGGCTTTTGTTTTTATTTCCACGGATGTAACAAAGCAGTGCCACACCTGCTGACCTGGTTTACAGCACCTTCAAATCAGTCTGATAGGTGCCAAAGATGCTGAGTGGTACCATGTGGCTCAGCCAGGGCTGTGTGCTGTGGGGTTGAGTGTTGTCACACCTGTATATATATGTGCGTAAGCAGCTGTGTTGCACAGCTGTAATCTGACAACTCCCCAGGTGCTGAGTCCCATTTGACTTTCCTTGTTTTACCTAGGAAGGGCCATAGGCACTTCTCCATATACAAGGAAAACCTGGAGTATGGAATGGGAGATCAGCAGCTTATGGTGGGCTGTTGCTTCAGGGGTGGAATCACTCTCTTAGCCATGGCTGCAGCAGGTCCTGGGACCCTCCAGATGGGCAGAGGCAGAGACCAGAGTGTGCTACCAGGGAGCAGTGAATGTGCCATCACTCCAAGCTTTAATCCCAGGGAGAGCAAAATCAGTGGGAGCTCTGGATTGGGCTGGGTGAGAGAGCACTGGGTGCTCTCCCAAGACCTCTGCTAAAGGCTGCAACAGGGCAACAGCTTTAATCCAGTCTAGTGCTGCACCCAGGGCTATTTTCCTCATTGTGAGCAGGAGCAGGCAGTGAGATGTGGAATTAACCTAAGCTGACTGTTCAGCCTTTGTATGTATCCTGTGTTTCATGGCCCACGCTGACTTGTGTTTTCTTTTCCCTGAACAGGTCTATATCATCAACGTAACATGGTCTGACCTGACTTCCCAGATCATCTATCGGAGATACAGCAAGTTCTTTGACCTGCAGGCAAGTCTGTCTTGTCTAACATAAAATATTACTTCCACTCACTTCTAGTCGTGTTTCCAGCTGGGTTAATAGTGCCTTTAAATAAAGCTTTGTGTGTGTTTGGTCTGTTACATGTCATGATCTTGAAACTTTTCAGACTCTGTCCTTGTAGGGTGTAAGATAAGTGGGTGGTATGCTCACAGCAAGTAACTGGCACTGTAAAGACATTTAAAGCTGACATTTTCATGAATGGTTCCCATTGAAGAGGGGATTTAATTTTAAATACTTCAGATGCACTTAGAACAGAAAGAGAGCTACATTCTGGGCCCCCAGAAACTACTTACCCAAATCACTGAGAACAACAGAGCTTTTGCACACTCCCACAGCAGTTCGGTAATGGAGATGGTAGTGGAAACCTTCCAGACTCTCCTCCTAATCGTCTACCCAGCCAGCTGGTGTCCTGGCTCCTGCTGCTTTGTACAGCTCCTTTGCTGTATTCTGTGCCTGTATATTTAGATTTCATCTGAAGCTTTCTTGCTGGATAGCTGCTGACCGAAGTCTGAAGCCAGGAAACAGGAATAGTCCAAATTACAAAGTTTCAGTGTGAGTGTCTTCATTTCTGGTCCTGCTTCCAGGCACCTGTATGGGTATGGAGAGCTTTCTGCCTCAGAACTATTTAGCAATACTCCATGTCCACTGATACCTTTCTATCGTTGTACCTCTGTAGGCAGAAAAGCTGTAATTGCCTGTGGTGAAAACAAAAGCTGTGGTTTGACAAACTCCTGAACTTTGGGGGAAATGTTGATTTTGGGCTGAAGGTGGTGTTTGGAGCTGGGCTGTGGTTAAGTATCAAGTGAGTCCTCACAGCCAGTGTTAAGGATGTGCACAGCTGACTGGGCTGTGTCTTGGGAAATATCATTAAGCCTTTTTGCCATGATAAATTAGGGAGAAAAGAGTTCTTCCCTTGGATAGCTGATCTGAGATATCTTTAAGAGTCTTACTTTCATCATCGCTCCCCTTTATGTGTCATTTTTGGTACCTGGACATCTGAAGTCTCTAGCGTGTTCTGCAGTCTGTATCGGTTATGGCCTCCTGGCTTTTCTGGTAGGAAATGGGACCATTTCTGTGGCCAGTCCTGATTTCTGTGTTTGCTGTGTGGCTGGAAGACAAAAGATGCTTCTCTTGTGCCCCTCTCCATTTCTTATGGCTGAAGTGCCAGGCCTGCCAGTCCTACTGCTGTGTAGTCTAAATCAGTGTCTAATGTACCTGCTAAAGATGCACAGCTCTGTAATCACACACAGTTGTTGTCAGCATGCAGATTGTGGCCAAAGCTGTTTCTTTCTCTCTTCTTTTTCTTTTTGCCCCAGTTCTGTTTTCATATATGTGTTCTTCTGGGTCTCCTGGCCTTTCCTGGTAGGTTTGAAAAGTTCCCATCAAGCATGGAGTTATCAATGGGGTTAGTGTGTTGGACAGGAAATGATGTCTCAATCAGGGAGTGAGTCCTGAAAGGTCCCATTGATAAGTGCAAGGGGGCCTAGCGCCAGTGGAAAACTCTCGCTTGCACAACGCTTCTCCCCCCACGAGAAAATACGACAAGAAAGTAACAAAATTCCCTTCCTTAACCCTTTTCTCTCCCAGGAATCTGTGTCAGGGCCACCACTGCATTAGCAGTGACAGCCCTCTGCAATAACCTCTTTAGCTCTTGCAGTGTTAGGTGCACAGTTAGTGAAACTGAGGTCTTCACGTGTAGTTTCTATGGCCTTGTCATGTCTCTGTAAGCATCTCGCTGTGGTGATCTGTGGCTCAGTTTCCCAGCTATAAGATGGGGACAAGGCCCTGTGTGCTGAGGTTGCAGATTTGCTCCAGAGAAGGGATGATCTGTTCTTTAAAGATTTTTTGGTGTAACCTAGCACTGGTTGGACCTGGGTTTTGTGACCTGATACGATGCATGGTAACGTGGCCTTAGCATAATCAATCTACTTTGGTAGTGTCCCTGCTTATCCCTATGTGTCCCTTACAGCAGAAAATCAAGCAAATACTCAGTGAGTGATGCTCAGCCAATTCACAGGCACTACTCTTGTCCAGAACAGCTGGAGTCTACAGGTTCCTGCCAGCACCACTCATCCCACTGTGCCCACGACAGAGCTGCACTTCAGAGCTTCCAAAGCCTGCACGTGTCTCATTTGCTTTTGACTCTAAGTGGAGGAACAAGGGCTGACTTGTAATGACTTAATGAGGGCTGCAGTGCCTGGTGTTGATAGTGACACTGGATAGGACCCACAGGGAAATGCGGGGGGGGCTGCCCTAATTGCCCAGAGGCAGCTGGGGAGGAATACAGATAATTAATTTCACTACTGCAATTTCATGTTTCTTTAAAAGAGAGCCCACCCTGCCCCGAACGATTCTGTCTGTGGGAAGTGGCTCAGTGCTTTTGAGAGCCCTTCCATTACAAGATACTGGGGTTTCTGAAACACTTCCTAGCAAATTCTCTTAGGCACTGCAGTCAGTAAGAGGCTGCTCTGTCCTAAGGATTGAAACCCCAGAAGTGTTTGGTTGTGCTGTTTCAGCAGTACACACACTTGAATTGGGAGTGAGGTTGCTTTCAAGATGAGTAATGGGGCAGTGAGATTAGACATACCGTGGGGTTTTGAAGCTGGAGTTTGCCCCATGAAGGCATGAGAAGTACAGCAAACAGAACCCAATGCAACAAGCCTAAGCTTACTGCCAGCCCTGTGCTTCTTCAGTGAGGGTTAGAGATCTAAAAGTACGGGCTTAAATTAAATCAGGGTGCTGCTGCATCATTTAATTGTGCAACCAAGTCACGTCTGCTGCTACGCATGGGTCAAATGATGGCAGCAGAATAGATGTGGGTGCCAGTGTCTCAGTAAATAGGATTGAAAGAATTGAGTTAACTCTGCATAGATTAAAGCACTACAATAAATTGCTTGTCAAGTCCACTTATCTGTTGTCTGTCAGCCTGGGGAGGCATTTGCACCTGAGCACCACATGGGGTCAAAGCCATCTCCTAATGTAATACTTTAAGTGCTGCTTTCTCGTGCACCTGCCCACAGTGCAGAACGGGGGTGTATGAGGAGCCCATCACTAGGAGAGCAATGTGAGCATCATCTGTGGGTACTGCTGACCCTCATGACAGGCTGGTGGCTCACTGAAGCACGTTCCTTGGATGCCATTTGAGGTCTTCCATCATCGCTGATGGTTTTGCTGGTGGTGGTAGCAGAATGCTGCCCTGAGCTGGCAGTTCAGCAGTGCTGCTGTTGTCCCCAAAGGAGCTGAGAAAGGACACATTGGGATAACAGGGATAACTCTTGGTGTTTCCACTCTGCAGTAAAAGTGCCTTTGGGGGCACTTAACTTTTTCTCCCCCAGGAATATCTGGATTCACAGTTGAGCACGTGCGTAAGGTGGAGAAGGGTGGGAATGCTGCCAGCTCACCCTCCCAGTGGCTATGATGGGCTGGAAAGCAACAACAAAGTTTGCAGCTGGCAGGTATGAAGGGTGGCTCTTTCCCCACTCCATTCCACTTGCTCAGCTTCCACAAGCTCACTTGGGCTTTTACAGATACTATGAGCCCAGTTGGTTGCTGCCCCTCACTGCTGAAAAGCCCCCTCCCCAGCAAGGTGAACAGGGAAAATGTGACCAAGGGTCAGTGCCTGGTGTCTTAGTTTGGGTCACCAGTGGCTCATCTGCTGCATTTTATGCAGCAACTCCAAAAGTTCTGGTCGAGTTTCATGCCTGTGTTATCTGGTGCCTGGAGTCAGAGTATGAACAGGACCACAGCCTTGGCAGAGGGACCAAACCCTATGCTCAGATGCCAGCTCCTGCATTGCTCCCATGAGGATGGCTGGGTCTCTGTGTGTGGAGCTGTAGGAGGATCCTTTCTCAAAACAGTGAAATGCAGCTTTCTCCAAAGGCAAGACTCAGCAGCTGGCTGTAGCGGCGTGCCATAATCCCACGTTGTGTTTCTGACTGCATGAGAGGCAAACGACGTCCCTGCTGGAGCCATGGCAGGAATGTTAGGTAGGCAGATCCCCGTCTCTGTGCACAATGACCCACACAGACATTTTGGCTGCAAGGAGACATCTGAAATGTCACAATTTTGAAAAGGCAAATAAACAATGCTCTGTTCACGCGTTTGCTTTGCGTATGGGTTAGCAAAAAGCTATCGTGCTGCTGCGGTGTGCTGAGCTAAGCAGGTTTTCTTCAAAGTGGGACAGAAAGAGGAACTCACTAGCAGCCAATTAGAACATGAAAAATAAAGAATATCAAGAATTTTATTGGGGAATGGAAAGAGATGGAAGTTGTTTTCAGGCTGACGATAAAACATCAAGAGCTTCATTTGTTATTGCTAGGGTCATCCTGATTGTTTATAGTGCTGTAATGGAGTAACTGAGCCTTGAAGGGGATATTAAACAAAAGTGGTGCTATAAAGAACAGGAATTGCAGTCTGTATTGCTGCTTTTCTTGCTCAGACTGGGATTTGTCTGAATGCTGCTGCTATTGATCATTCTTTCGTTGCATACACCTCTGTACAAACATCCCTTTCTCTGTTATCCCAAGCTGTATCAAGTATTGTAATGTCCACTGTCATTTGCGGTCAGGTGGTTGTAACTCTGCCTCATGCCCCTGAGCACCTTGTATTTCACTGGGTTGCTATGATTTGAGAAACAGGACCTTGGTGGCTTGAGGATGCAGGCTTTCTGGGGCAGAGCAGAGGGGGAATCAGTGCAGGGTGCTTGCAGGATAGGTGTCTGATGTAGTTCTGATGGACCGATGTGATTCTTAGGGACTGCAGTGATAGAACAAATGGTAATGGGTCCCCTTAAACATGGGAGATTTAGATTAGATCTAAGGAAGAAATTCTTTACAGTGAGGGTGATGAAGACCTGGAACAGGTTGCCCAAGGAAGTTGTGAGAGCTCCATCCCTGGCTGTGTTCAAAGTCAGGCTGGATGGGGCTTTGAGCAACCTGGTCTACTGGAAGGTGTCCCTGCCCATGGCAGGG